AGATTCACACGGTTTTTTGTCTGACATCACGATTTATATAACTGTGAAAAAAAAATAATATGACCGTTTTCTTCGTAAGTATAACAGCGAAAAACACAAAGAATCTGGCAACATTGCAGGGGTATAGCAACGCAATATATCCCTTTTGCACTTTACTTTTTTTTAAATATCATTATGACGGATTTTTATCTATTATCTAAATATGCATTCATTACGTTTTTCTTCTCTTTATGAAATTTTTGTCAAAATAATTGTGATTGCTATTAGACATATTCGTTGCCGTAACTCCCAAGCGTAATTCAAATAAATGAATTATTAGCCTTTTCTTTTCTAGAATTAAGAACCTTCTACCGGGACGTCGAGACATCGTAATTCGTGTACGTATTATTCCGGTGAGAAGTGTACAGTTTTACGACCAAATGTATTCAGTTTTCAATTGCGCTTAATGAGCACAATTATTCTCGAAAGATACAGGGATACTTTTTATAATGTTCTGCATGACGGAAGGTTATTAAACTTTAAAGTAATCAGAGTGATTCAATGTTAGCTTGAAATAAATTCAATTTTGTTTCAAATTTTATTAGGATTTATTAGGATCATTTAGTAATTTGATTTAATAATTTGTTGCGATTATAAACTGCGACGTAATTTGACTTGTACTTTTGTATATCTTTTTACATTCTCCTTATATTTGTAGATAGACATATAAGGTGAAATTAATTCGCGCATGATAATGATGCAGACACGATCAAGTCGGTCTCATTACTGTACAAGTATTCAATTCTCGTTTGAAAAATGTTTGAATAATTTTCCATACTAAATCTTTCATCGTTTCGTTATCATACTACGTATGAGATACGTGTTTCTCTGAAATGTTAAAAAATCCGAAACTACGGTACCTTCCAAGGAAAGAAGAAGAAAAAGAAAGAAAAGAGAGTGTTAGAGCGTTGTAAACCTAAGTCTCGAAAACAAAGTACGGAGAGAATATATCACCATTTACTTATAATGTACATACATTTCCTGTAAAATCGTTTAATCCAAAAGTCGATTGCATTATGCATCTTCTAATTGTGCGTGTATACATATATACACACACATATGTGAGATATATAAATATATACATAAAATGTGATGAGAATGTGTATGTATGCATGTATGAAACATTATATTGTATGTGATGTGACCAGAGAATTTGTGCAAAACATTTTCG